ATGGTTCAAGATGTGGATTATTTAAAGAAATTAGAATTCTGTTAGAATTATTATTTGTTAAAAACCCTGCTATAAGATGATGATAATGAGTATCTTCATTATGAATATCAGCAGGAAAGTTTTGATATGAAACTATTATATCACCTTGCTGTATAGGTGGTATATCATTATCATGAGACAAATGAGTAGCTATTGGATATGAGAGATAAGTAAATAAATTAGAAGAAAGTATTTGGGTATATCTACGTAAATAAGGATTATTTTCTTTAAGCTAGTTTGTTGCATTTATTAGTGATCTATTTAACCAAGATGGTAAAGATGCAAAGATTGAAGATTCTAAAAAGCTCCTAATATACCAGAATATAAACTTAAAGAGTGAAAATTTTGAGAATAATTCATAGTGCCTACTAATGATCTATATTCTGTAAAGGGATTTGCTCCAGGAGTACGACCCAAAGAACAATATAAAAAAATAGAAGATAAATATTTGCATTTTTTTAATAATACAAGTTTAATTTCTAAAGAAATAGATGAAAGATAAGAAGGATAATTTCGATTTGGATTTGCTTTACATGAAGGATATACAGCAATTCAATTTGGTGGTGAAACAAGATTAGTAGTTAATCTAAAATTTGGATATGCAACAGTAAGTGGATAAACAATATTAGAGTCTTTTTGAATCCACATTGATTTTTCTGGATACATAAGTTTTGAGCAAATAGAACAAGGAATATATAGAAATTGACATAAAATTTTATTTTCAAATTTGTAAATAATTTGTTGCATTTTATAAGATATAACCCATGAAGAATTAATTAGAAATGTAGATATATCAGTATTAGGTATGAGATTTGTTTCTTGCATTATGGGTTGAGATACATTATTATATAAGATTAAATCAATAATATGTTCATTATATTCTAAAGCATAAATTTCAAAAATATGATATGTATAAAATGGCATCATAATAAGTTTGTGATAAGATAAATATCAGATATTTATTTGATTTAAAATTATAGTAGATATTTAGAAAAAATATGATCAAGTTAAATAATAATAAAATTTATTTGTTAGAAAAAAGAATTTATGATAAGATAGAATATAATAAAGATAAAATACAGGTTTTTTATTTATTTTTTGTGAATAATATTTTTGTTTAAAGTAATATATATATAATAGTTTATTTGCACAAAATAAAAATTACCTTATAATTATAGCATTTTTTTCTAATATAATAGGTATATTTGTAAAATTTTGTAAGTTAAAATATTATCAATTATATAAATCATAATATTGCATAGTAACTATAGAGTAAATTTGCTATTTCTAAAACTGTTTACAAATTTAAATATAAATAATAAAGTTTGTGTTATGACAAGAAAGAACTTTATAATAGTACCACCAATTTAACCCAGGGTTATAAGCATTAAAAATAAGAAACTGAGTATTTATTATAATACTCCAAGATACTAAAAATACAAACATTAAAAATGATACAAGTAAGTATCTTCTTAACAAGTATACTCGGTACTCTATAGTCTTCTAAAATATCTCTTGTTCCAACTCAAAATTAAATTAAAAAAATTAAATAAATAAAAAGATATCTTCTAAAAATATCCTATTTATGTTGTATATTAGACTTTAATTAGCTATCATGTAAAAGGTAAAGTATAAGCTAATTTTATAAAATGTTGTAATGATTAACAAAGTATAATATTAGAATTAATTCGATCAATACTTAATCTATTACAATGTCACATAAGAAAAAGTTTAATTGCAAAAGGCAAAGTATAAGCTAATTCTATAAAACGTCATAATAATCGACAAAGTATAATATTGGAATTAATTTGATCAATACTTAATCACAGGATAAGCTATTACAATATCGTATAAGAAAAAGTTTAATTGTAAAAAGTAAAGTATAAGCTAATTTTATAAAGCGTCGTAATGATCGACAAAGTATAATATTGGAATTAATTCGATCAATACTTAATCACAGGATAAGCTATTATAATATCACATAGGAAAAAGTTTAATTGTTAAATTTGTTACTTTTTTTGTATAATAATATACTAACACTTTTGACCAAAAGCATTACCTTATCAAAGGTACATTCTAAGTACCAAACTTCTGATTTAACTACAAAAATAGAAAATTGCTCTTCAAGGGGAAGGAACTTTTCAGCTTACATAGCAATTTTTGGAGAATCAGACTTGTAATACTTCACTAAGTATGATTCTTGCATTATATTAATACGGTCAAGTCTAACAGTAGTCATTGTGCTATTCTAAACCTTTGAGCTACTTAACAAATAACTGGCAGGAGAGCAGGAAATGACGTTAAAGCCAGTCTTGCTAAGACGAGCATTAGTGAATAGAAGAATATCTGAAAAACCTTGTAAAGAACCGTATTTAAATAATATTGATCCAATTAATTATTCCTGCATGATACAAAATATATGATTTAACTAACATCAAACTTCTTAACTAACATCATACTCTTTAACTAACATCATACTCCTTAACCACTTTTATTATTTCCCATTACTGGTTATTGACTTTTAAGGAATATCAATTAGAATCATCATATGTGATCATAGATCTACCACAATACCTGTATTCGACAATATCATGCATATACAGGTCTAACAATGAAATTTTGATAGCCTATCGGCTAGCTGATAGGTCTAAAAAAGGTCATATATATCTTACAATATTTGTCTGATAGATATAATCCGATAGCTCACCACTATTTGGCACGTATCTATGATCTATCAGCTTGGCACATATCGACCACTTTCTGTGACATATATACAAAATTTTGGCAAAAATATCTGCTTTAGAATATTGATACTATATTCTCTGATATTTATACGATATTCTAAATTTCTAAGTGATATATGCCAAGTATCACAGAATATCAGCTCACTAATAGTTATATAAATTTTTCCGATTGTTTATGTATTCATAATTTAATACTATTTATATGATATATAGAATCAATATTTTCATAATGAAAGCAATTAATAATCATTTATTTTCCTACATACAAATATTACTAATTAATAGCTAATACTATATGAATATACATTTTTGAAATATTCGCTAAAAAATCTATATACTAAATCTACTGCTAATGTGCTTTATAATATAAACAAAATAAAATTTATCTGTACTGATATAAATAACGATGTCAAGTTTTCTCGTATACGTCACATTTTGCGCTGAGATCCTGGATATCATCTCTTTATCGTTGTTTACTGTCAAAGTAATAAATATACATAAAAATTATATCAACTAAAAAATAGTATGTTTAGAAGGTCTATACCCCAGTTTCCTCTTTGCTGTAGCCAAATTTTCTGGTTGGAACATTCATTCTTTTTTTATTCTTAATTCAGCTGGACTTACGAACAGGAGTTTTAGTACTGAGGTTGTTATTCGTAGAAGTTGATTCATTTGTATTAAAATTGTTATTTCTAGGACTACGCCCAGAATTACGTCTGGAATTATGCCCAAAATTAGTTAATTCATCTGTTTTCAGATCATTTGTATCAGAATTGTCATTTCTAGATCTATGCCTGGAGTTATGCCTGAAGTTACACCCAGAATTAGTTGATTCGTGATTATTTGTTTTTAGATTATTTGTATCGAAATTATCGAAACTAGAATAGAAAGTTAATAAATATATAAACAAACTTTCTACTCGTTCTTAATTGTACATCTTGATTCATTTTCAAGTCTACGCTCAGAATCACACTCGAAATTAGTTGATTCATGATTATTTGTTTCAGGATTATTTGTATTAGAATTATCAAATCTAGGATAGAAAGTTAATAAATATATAAATAAATTTTCTACCTGCTCTTAATTGCATACCTTGATTCATTTCCAGGTTCATGCCCTGAATTATTTGGTTCATAATTGCCATCTTCGGATTCTAAATTGTTATTAGATCTGGTATCAGTATATTCAGGATTATCATATTCAGGATCATTATTATCATTATCGTTATTATTATTAGATCCTGAATTATTGGTTCTGGTAGACGTATTGGGCGTAAGACTGTCACTATATCTATTATAATCGTAAGATGAGGCAATTGTCAAAAGGGTACACCAAGAGGTGGTCTTGTATTTTGTTTCCAGTTTTTGTCATAATATCGTTCCCTTATAATTTTATTGGCTTGGTTCGTTAAAGCCACCTTTTTGGCCCAATAGAAAATTTTTTTGCACTATGTAGTTTTTAGAATAATTGTAGAATAAGCTGATACACTATTTTATGATAGAAACTCAAATTAAAGTTTGGCATTACCCTTTCAGACCTCCATGTAGGAACATGTACTTTAATAACATGTTTGTTTGGATGTGGGGTTTTTTTTTCACTTCAAGTTCAGCGTTAGTCTCGCTTAACACATCAGAATAGTAAGCTGTCGTAGTGACAACTTCAGAAAGGTGATCTTTCCATTCTTCCTTGTTAAGAGCATTTGATCAATATTTTTTAATTATAGGATCCTTTATACTAATCATTTGTTACAAACCTTCAATCCTTCTAACTTTTTTCTAAAATAAATAAATAAAATAAATAAATAAATAAAAAATAAACAAATATATAATAAGTCAATAGTCATATATATCTTGCATACACGAATTTTTTCTGCTATGTTTCTTATTCGCTTTATTTATTACAGGGCCACTTTAATCTTTGCCATTGAGTATATGCTTTTATGATTTGTTTGAAGCATATTAATGACTTCTTCATCCAAATATTCGAGGCTTTTATTAATACGTCATTTTAATGCAGGTAGAATGAAAAGCTCAACAAATTCTTTTTGTTTACACCATTTTTTTGAGCAATAACCGCTAGCTGGGGATGCTCAATTGCTAATTGCCTAGCTGCACGGAGTACTTCTTTCTATAATAATAAATTATACAATCCGATATTCTATCATTAATATTATTAATTAATTAATATATTAATTAAATACAATCGTACCCTAAAAGCCTTTCTATATTTTTTGTTCATCAGGTAATTGCTTTGTCCTGAACCTTTCTTAATCTGGATAACAGTTCTTTCCAGGTGAAAAAGATCTTTCTCTTTTCTTATTTTTTTTTCTTCTTCTATCATTATTATCATCAACTTCACCATTATAATCATTGATATTATTATTATTATGATTAGGCATTGCAGGTGATTGAGAGCATCATAGATTTGAAGTATTTGATTGTGCCATTTCAATATATCTGAATCTTTCTTCAAGAAGAGAAAGTTTAGATTTCAAAGACTTATTTTCTATGATCAGGTAAATTTATTAGCCGATATTCGTATCATCAATAAAAAATAATTAAATAAATATTAATATAATAGGTAAATA